GTGAATCTCGATGTGCAGATTTCGTGGCAGGCGCAGCACTTTGTGAAGCTCGATGTGCAGATTTCGTGGCAGGCGCAGTGCATTGTGAACCTCGATGTGCAGATTTCGGGGCAGGCGCAGTACTTGTGAACCTCGATGTGCAGATTTCGTGGCAGGCGCGGTACATTGTGAACTTCGAAATGCTCCTATGTACTCGCCTATGTGCTCTCAGATTTGTGCTTGTATGTGCTCTCACATTTGTGCTCTTATATGTGCTCCCATATGCTCTCATATGTGTGCTCGTGAATCTCGATGTGCAGATGTTCTTGAAGGGTTTTGAATTTCAATCGCACGCACTCGCAGCTTGCCACCGCGGAAAACATGCGCGTCTGCAGTCGTAGCTTTTTGTTTTACAACGACCTTTCAGCCATACTACTCTAGCATTTTTGGCACTACGCTGGTCGCACTCTCATGCTTACAACCTCACGCCTGGTCCCTCTGGTCTTTCACATGCTTCCGCATCTGCTGCTCTCATCTGAGCCACGTTTTTTTTGCAAATGATTAGGTTTATACAAAAAGGGAACTGTTGAGAAGTCGCGGAGGCTGTTCTGCTTGGGGCGTAGGCGTCGTGTAAGCATTTTGCGTAGGTGGGTGTTGAAAGATTTGCGTAGGCAGTCTTGCGTAGGCACCCTTTTCATGAAAGCCTGAATTTTCTTTTTCAGACTTCTTTAAAAGTTGTTCAAGGGTCTTGGGGAAAGATAATGTTGGCTTGTAGTTGTTTAACTTGACACTTGCTTGCAAATTCCAGTGGGGAAGGAAAATGAAAATGAATTGTAACGACATGGCTACAGTGGATGTTTGAAGTTTGTTTGTCGAAGCTATGGGGGCACATTGGTTTTTGAGGTCAAAAGCTTGATCGTGCTTGGTCTGGCACACCGGCTCTTGAGCTACAACTGTGCGCACCCTGTTGGTACCATAATCAATGGACCTATTTTCGCGTAGGCGCTCGCGGAAGCAGCGCGTAGGCAAGAAGCCATTGGCTGCTGCTACTGCTTGGCTGCTGCTTTTGCTGCTGCTTTTGCTGCTGCTTGGCTGCTGCTGCTGCTGCTGCCTCTTGTTTTCTGCTTGTTGTGCGCTGTTTATGTGCTGCTGCTTCCACACTGTAATTGGATCGGCTTGATACAAAATCTATCTGGCCATCGGTAGCAAAGCTGTAAACGCCTTGTAAACAGGAACCTGCTGTGACCCGGTCGCATCGGGCCACTACTTGCGGATTATATAGCTCTTTTCGAGTCACCTGATGTGACTAAAGTTGGTGACAGCACCCTGCGTAGGCATTTGCTTGAGAGGGGAGCCCAGGCGTAGGCACCCGCGTAGGTACAGACCCAGTGTATAAGCCCCACACCACAAAAAAAAACACAACTCATCTGTGCACTCTCCCATTTGTGCTCTTGTATGTCTCCTCTCATATTTGTGCTTTCATCTGTGTGCTCCTGCTTTCCTTCCACGTGATGCCATGTTCCATCTGTTCCTCTTTACACTATTTGGGGTCCCTTGCCGGTGTAATTTTTAGATGGACGTGATCAGCGTCTCTCTACTTGGATCTTTGACCCGCTGGTGTGTGAAGCTTAATTCAATGCACCACCTGTTGTCAGACCAGAGTGTCTACAACAATGTCGTGAATCGCGGCAGGATCGATAGAACAGGTGGAAGGTTCATTTAACCTGTTCCAGGGATTGTGCGTGTTGCGTTCGTTTGACCAACTGCGCAGCTTGAGTGACAGGCGACCTTTGTTATTTGATAGGTTATCTCGGTTGGATTTTCGTTCTTGTGTTTAAACTACTTCACTGTGCAAGGCGATGCTAGCCCACCATGTCCAAACTTTGGCACTCCTGCTCAACATAGCTGTGATTAGCGTGGGAACCCATTTAACCCACTCCTTGCTGTCCTCCTGACTTGCACAGGCCCTCGAACGGTTGACGCAATCCAGCTCTGAGTTGCTTGGAAATGTGAAGAGGTGCAACGGTTAATTGAAAACACTTTTGGTGTTGAGCCCAAGATGTTGTCTACGGGTTGTGGGAGTGGTGCTCAGTACTGAACACCCCTCAGCTTTGCGATACTCGTTTTTTTGGCCGGTCGCCAGTGAGTAGCGACCCAGCGCCCCAAGATGTTGGGTGTGATGGGATGTGATGGGCCTCCCTTCCGAAGATCAACTTGTGGATACCTGAAATTTTCAATGAGTCTTTTTCTTAATAGAGAGAACAAATCAAGACAGTCGACCCAGTTGGGGCTGTCGGCCAAACACTTGTCGCATGCGATCCCGTGGGTGAACAAATGATAACAAATGCCTTGTTTCCTCCAAAATCCCGAAAACATTTCGATTTGTTTTGAACTATCCAGTTTCAACACATTAAAACTTTCAAAGTAAAACACGGTAAAACAAATTCAAACATATTAAACACATCTCACACACAACCGGTCGCATTCATTTTCTGTAAGTTGTTCCAGGTTGTTTCACGTTGTTTGGTTCGGAAAAGGCCCCATCCTCACCTTCCAACCTCATTAGCCTCCACTAGGCTCCGGCAACGCTTTGGCAGCGACTCCGTCGTGCAACGGCCCTGCGTGCGGGTCCGCGAGGCGTGGGTCCGGCTGGGAGGTTCGGTTGGTCGGGGTTTGGCCTGTTTGTTTATTCCCATGGGCTCCAACCACCTTCTGTGGACATGGTTGGAGCCCTAAGGATCCCTCAGGTGTTGCTTCTTTGGAGCCCCAAATAGATAGAAAAGAAGATCCCGACTATGTATTGGAAAGCTGTGCCACTATCTGTTTGGGGACCGCGCCTAAGGGTATTTTTCCCGAACTGGGCGCATGTCCTTCTGGTCAAGATATTTCATTACTCCCGGCTCCCAAATTAAGCAAATCGAAGTTGGGCAACATTTTGGCCAATGGTCAGGACATTTGATCAAAAGGTTCGGTTCATGTGCACATGTAAGGAACATGTTTCATTTTTCGAGGGGGTGAGAGTTGGTGGATACATTTGATGTAAACAAGTTCCTGTGAGTGTTCCTGTGATGTCATTTCTTGCAGCAGCGGTGTGCAGGAGTGTCAGTGTTCTTCGCAACGCGTAGCTAGCAGCCTAGCACTGGCCAGGCTGAGACTATGGTCGTGGTGAGTTTGTTGAAATCCATGCAGGAGTTGGCACTGCTGAGCTTCTTGGGTGATTGTTTGTCGTGTCAGGTCCGGAGGGGGCGGCCAGGAGCCCAAAACATCGGACTCTCAACCTCGGATATCGAGCGGGGTCGGGTCCAGATCCAGCCAACGTGGCTCCCCCAGATCCAGCCAGCGGGTTTTTTCCAGATCCACCGAAGAATCGGGCCCAGATCCAGGCCCACAGAATCAGGCGCATGTTTTGGTAGGGGGGGCCACTTGCCACACACCGCAAAATGCCCGTGGGGTTTCCGGACTGACCAATTGGTTTCAGTTTCCTGGATTTCAGCATGCAGCAGGGAAAGATGTCAAGCCAAGAGCTGGGAGGAGGTATGTATCATGTGTGTTTTCCAGTTTTCATGATGCTGTTTTTTTGCCCTTTTGGTCCTTCAGCCTGTCCTGCATGTCCTTCACCGTTCACTCGCGGTGTCCCAGGCAGCAATGAGTATTTGTTTGAAGCTTTGCGCGACGAGCAGCGGCGGCACCTGAACGCCTAGCAATGCCTAGCACCGAGCGGAGGGGCCTCTCAGGCATCGGCCTCCGCGACGAGCTGACGGAGGCGACAAGCTGCGCCTGGGAGTGGCTAGGGTCCTATTAATATTACTTATGTGTTTTGCACATAGGTGGAATTGAAGGATGGGAGTGGTATGGAAGGTATAGTCAGTATATTGTCAGTATGTGGTTTGGTCGCTGGAGGGTCGGCATCAATTGGTTTGTGCACTCCTGTGAAGTCGCAGGTGGTTGCAAAAACCATGTGCGGCAAGGGAGCACCACATGCCATGCTGCTTTCACATGAGGGAGCACAATTATCAAACGAACTCGTCCATTGCAAAATTGGGACATGGTCAGAGATGACCCTAAACCTAAACCTAGATAACCTACCCAGTCCTTTTGGGACATGCACCTGCTCACGAAGGATGGAAGCCATGGCAATGACCATTTAACCTACCATCCCCGTATGGAATAGTCACATATATGATTGCAATGTAGGTAACATTAGGTACATTAGGCAACTATTCCATACATAGATGATCATAGATTGTTGTAAACATCATGTTTCGTGCACTTCCAGCACATTTCAGCAGTATCTCCCGATGTTCTATTTTGCGCTGCAGGAGCCTGCCCCCTGTCCTTTGCCCGCCGAAACGGCCGCCCGTTGACGCCCGTTTCGGCACCAAAAAGTGACGAAAGGGGACCTGGCCGGGCGGCTCGAATCAACCCATGTGAGCTGGTTGGTGAATGTGCACATGTTCAACCTCTTGTTGGGGCTCTGAAACAGATACGCTCCTATAGGTGGCGGAAGTGTTTAAGGATGTTTAAGGTTCAGGAACTTTTATGTCATGACCTCCCAAGTGACCTTTTGAGATGTATGGTTCATCCCTCCCTAAACTATCTCCTGTATTTGCTTTCAGGGGCGAAATGGTCTTTTGTGCTTCTGGAACATTGAGATCACAAGGGTTTGGCACAAGTCGTGAGGTAAGATTTTTGTTGTAGCCAAGTCCCAGTTGGTTGGCTACAAATCATTTGCGACCAAATTCCAGATTCCAGACTTTGGACTGGAGCAAGCTCCAAGATTGACTCCTGGCCTGGATTCTCCAACATGTGGAGCTTCAATCAACAACGCAAATGTGTTACGCTTTCCGCTTGGATTACGTAGACCTGGAGACTAAACATCAAAGAAAATCCCTGGGGCTCCATCAACCTCCCACAACGCTCTCAGATTCTCAACCGAAACTCGGCCATGTTCCACATCGGTTTCCAACCTCTACCTGACCACATCGCCCCGCAAGTCGAATTCGCCCGCGCACGATGTTGGCGAGGCTCTGTTGGGGTCTGTTGAGTTGACGCCCTATGGCGGGCGACTGGGGTGGCACACGTCAGAAGGTGCCCCGCAGCAATCTCCCCACTTGCGCCAAACTTGGCCGGAGTGGTGGAGATGTAGATGAAAGCAAAAAACAAAGACACGGACAGGTAATGAACACTCATGAGAAGCTAAGTATAGTTACGGCAGTGGGAAGTGGAACCAGGGCCCCAACCAGAGCACAACCTGTCAGGGCCAGAAACGCCGCAAACATTCTGCCTTCTCTATAAAAGCAGCTCAATCTAAAGAGAGAGAACCCGCGACACGTCGTAATTCACCTGAGGTCGCATATTTTTTGAAAGCCGCATGAACCTGAGCAGTACAGCGACCAACGTGGAGGATCTTTTGATGTAGAGGCTCCAACTCAAGCACCGGTTCAAGCCCACTCCCAGCGCAAAGCATGGGAGACCACGGTTGCGCACCGATGGAGAAGATGGGCCAAAGTGAGCGGGCGGTTGCAGTGAGGGCAGCTGAGATCCATGTCAAAGCTTTGGCCAAACACATCAAAGGGAATTTGCCCAGAAAGGCGGGAGAGGTACCAAGCTCTGTCACCTTCTTTGGCGATAGTCAACGGCCTTCGGAGTACCTCAGGTGTAGGGGGTTCCAGTGGTTGAGCAGGCATCTCAGGAGAATCCAGAGCCAAAGCCTCAGGGGAGGGCAGCTCAGGTGTAGAGGGTGCCACTTGTGGGGGAGGTGTCCGGCTACGGCTACGATGCTCTGCAGGACGAAGTCCTCCTGAGTGTTGCTCCTGGATGTTACCATCGGGAGCACGTTCACACCCTTGAGCAGCTTGGGCAACGGCAGTTGGCACTGGAGCCGAAGCAGATGGTGGAGCATGTTGGCCCAGTCGCTGCAACAGCGGCTCCCCATCATAGGCTTGTGGCCACTGCGGTTGCACCAAGGCTTGCATCATACTAGCATAAAAAAACAGTGATGTAAACAGTGACCCCGTAAGACTAACTGGGATGGAAAAACACCTAATTCTGTTGCACAACATTTGTGGATTATAGATGCCCGCTCTCAAAAACACAGTCCAAAAGCATTGTCCATTATAATAAATATTGGCTCGAGGCTCAAGCCAGGAAAAAACATGGGCAAAGCGGCAAAGCATTGGCAAAACCCAACTCCCATATGTATTATGTTGACGTTTTTCCAGGAAACACATTCAAGGCTCTGCTGCGTTGTGTCAGAAGTCAACAGGCATGCTCGTCCAAAGTGAGAGTTTGAGGTAGTAAATCACTGACTGATAAATGGCACTTTGTCATCGACGCACTGAAAAAGTAAACCAGCACCCATGGTAAAAGTACTTAAGAAAGCAACGCACAGCGCCTGGCAGAACGCACAACGCACAGGAAAAAACACATCTCAAAAAGACACGCTCAGAGTTTCATGTGACTCCGACTCAGAGTTTCATTTTTCAGAGTTTCCCTGTTTCCCTCATCAAAAATTTGGTGACCAAAATCAACATGCCACACAAAATAATCATGATTATGTCTAGTGGCATGATGATTTTGTTTCATGTTTTAGAGCTTCCTTCTTGCCAGAAAATCATCATGCCTCCACTTGGCTCTGGACCTCCGCTTGGCGAAGTAATCCTCCCCTCGAATCGACACTGTCACTGTCCGAGTCGCAGAAAGTCCCCGGTCTCACCGACATTGAAGAGGCTCGCGCCAGGCGAAAAAACTCCACGTCCAGCGCTCGGATCGGATCCGCAGCCATGGCCACAAAGGACACCAAGGCGGAGACAGGCGGCGGCGACGAAACGCGGTCACGCCGGTCTCGGAGCAGAGAGAGAGGTTTTGTCACATGTTGCCTAAAGCTGTTGGGGTCGATTTTTCAAGCTGTTTTAAAGGTCAAATGCAGATCGATCATGCCAGATATGATCTTGGATCCATCAGATCTTGGTCTCCGTTGTTATTGGACCCGGTTGGAGGTAATAAATAGTAATAGATATTCCAGACCATCCAATCAGTAATCATTGACACTGACACCTCAAATATTAGGGTCATAAATGGTGGTAAATGTACAGTATGTAAATTTATATGTAACTATTTTATACTATATTTTAAACTCTATATATTATACTGTATTCGATTGGTGACCTGTGGTACTCGCAAAGATGTTGGCTACACACCTTGAAAGCATCATGGTTACGTGGATTGCATGGCCCCGGGTTCGCATGACCAGCAATCCCTCTACAGACAGGTGGTGAACTCCACTTCCAGGGAGTGTACGCGATCTTCACCAAGAACTAAACGTTGTTGCTGACCATCATTATCCGTCAGTTGTGACAATGGTGGGAATCCACAATCCAGCCCACTCGACTAATGGTGCACTTCTGCCGTGCATCCTCCTATCAGCGAGAATGTGGATTGCTGGCCTTGTCAAATGTTGATACACGATACCCTCCAATCCAACACCCATGTTATGGATATTGATCACAAAACAATGAAGCGTATTTTGTCGGGTCTATCAACCACGCGACCTTGCTTGCTGGCTCTTGGGAGAGATCGCTTTTGCACCCCTCCCCCCGGCCTTCCTCCTGCTCAACCGGCGCAGGGCGCGGCAAGGGGCGCGGACGGGGCAAGGGCTCGGGTAAAGGCGGCGGCCGGGCGAGCAGTGGCACTTTTGATACTGCCAGGCGCAGTCAGGGCATTTGAGGACCGGTTGGATCATGGTCATGCGTAGAAACGTGAATTATATACTCTGTTATTTGTTGAGTATTTTTTGGAAGCCATGACTTGTTTGGGGGAACCGAGAACCGCGACCCCTGAAAACTTATGCTTGTCATTGGCATAGTCATGGAACTTGATGCCTTTCTAACAAGGTCCATTCTCCTGTTTCGATTTGGTAGCTTTTTTGATTTTGGACATTGCAGGTCTTGCGGGTCTTCCTCAATGTCATGTCATGTCATGCTGGGGGTCCATCCTGTTGGACATTGTTGGACCCATACCAAAAAAAAAACAATACTAACTCAACACCATCAACACCGATTTGTGTAATTAATAGAATCGTACATTAGAATCGTGATACAGTGGGTGTTTGCATATGTTTGTTTTTTACCAAGAAGACCCGCTTCTGCTTTGCACTAGCTGAGCTGCGATTCGG